TGACATAGTGTGCGTGCATTTTTGTTTCTTCTCCTTTTTCTTTCTCAGTTCAAACTTTTTTTTCTTGGTGGGAATCGATGAAAATTATACACCAATGGCAATGCTAATGGTTACTTGCCCATACAATATTCACTCTCCTGATTATCATAGCCTGCTAATTGTCAGACTATGCTAATGGTTATGCACCAGTTCAGAGCGCAAACTGTTCCCATCCTTTGAACTAGACTAAGCTCTGAATGCTGTGCACGGCCTAGTGGCCTGCATAAAAATTCACTTTACAGTGTTCAGTCTACTCTTCACATAAGAAAGCTCCAAAAATTCTGTTGTAGTTTGAACAAGCACATATTCAGACAGGAAAACAAAGGCGATGTCCAGTATAAAGCGGGGCGAAAGCCTTTTTCAATAAAGTACACAGATAAAACATCAACTTCAGAACGCAAGTTTCGGCCTGGCAGTAAATTTTAGGCTTATTTCCCTTGGACTGTCACGATGAAGCCGCAAGGAATGATGAGGCACTCAAACTGGAAGGATCCAGGCCCAAGTGATCACGGATCATCACTCATACGCTGCGTTTGCCGCAGGATGTGCCGAGCGAGAGATGGTGCTCGGTCCGGGGGTGTCATGTGAGATTATTAGCTGTACGCTCGGGCCAGCTGCCCTGTGAGCTATGGGTTTACTTGGCATTCGGAGCTGTGAGTCGCTGCTGGTTAGCATTGCCACAACTTCAGAAATGGCAGGCCTGTCCTCCTCAGGCGACCGGTGCAAATTCTGCACGCAGAGAAGGCCAATCTGGATGCACCTGGCTAGTGCTGACAAGAGCTCGCCAAGTTCGCCCACTTCTTGATCAAGAAGCTCCTCAATATCACGACGATTCCACAATTCCCAGGCCTGCAAAAATATGCTCGGTCATACGGAGTACCGCTCATCTTTGTTTGATATGGCTATGTTTGGAACGTGTGTGTTGGGTTTGTGTAGCAAGCTGAACAAAGATCACCCGTTCAATGCTAGTTTGCACCCGTTTCAGTGGGAAGAAACTAGAGGACGCCTCAAGGAGGAGTATGTTTTTTCATGAGCAGACTTACATGAAGAAGGAACGTTGGCATGCTTGTTCTCCTTTTGCCGATGACTATCTCCAGCAGGACGACTCCGAAGCTATATACATCACACTTGTACGTCAGGGTCCGCTCTGCTCCTGCATACTCTGGAGCGACATATCCTCTTCATTTAACACAAAACATGGAATCAATTTCCTAACATAGTAGTCTAAGTTGAATATGAAACATTGGATGAGATGGAAATTTCAGTCGTACGGTGTCAGTACTACTGTCGGATCTGTCTGGTCGGCAATGAACAGCTTGGCAGTGGCGAAGTCTGCTATCTTCGGGTTCCACGAATCATCCAGAAGTATATTGCCAGGTTTAAGATCCCTGTGAATGACTTGCTTGCTGTGAAGGAATTCAACACCTACTGCAACCCCACGAATTATTTCCAGTCTTTGCGCCCAATTCGGTGAAGAGCGGGGCATGTTTTGTTCTCCTGCGTTTCCAAACAGGTGCGTGAGGCCAAATACAGATATGAATAGTTTTGGATACATGTGCGCATATAATGATAGATTTGTTAGAATAAATCCGAGGCGCTCCGTCGATCTACCGAGGATCAAGCAATCACACAAGCACGACACCGAGATTTGTTAACGAGGTTCACCGATATGGCTACATCCCCGAGGCCTGACTATGGGCGCTCCTCCCCATGACACCGCTACAATACCGCACCCGGTCGCCCTGGACACCGGCACATGCCACCGGCTTCCCCTGCGTTTCGGTGCTATTATGTTGGCATAGGTTACATCGTGTGTCTACCCTCGCTATATATGAGAGGCCTAGGATACAAGTGTCCTACTTGGACACGACTCCGTATCCTGTCTACACACCGTACGACTCCAAGTCCAACTGTAACCTAACTTGTACAATAATATTCGACACAATTCTAACAAACTCCACCTTGGCGAATATTCTCCACCACCTTGAATTCATCCGTGCATCGAACCTCCATGTACATTGGACTTGAGATACGCCATGAGCCCCACTGCTACTCCCAGACTCCATGTGACTCCACCTGCAACTGTAGTCCCTTCTCGTCTTCTTCACAGTCAACACTCAAGCAAAATTAAGTTCCTCATTACTCTACCTTGTGCTTCCAACTTCCAGAGTATCCGTTCAACGACATCACACACCGATCACTGTCTGCGTGAAAAATGAACCACTCACATATTGGACGCCACATATAAGAGTTACGTGAACTCAACGTCACTGCTCTTTCTGTACTGCTTGTCTGAAACTTGAAGGAATTTCACCATTGCTTGTAGTCATCCCGAGTCAAATTCGCAGTTGTCTCACAACATGTATGACCACCAGAGCCCTGGCCCGTCTCCATGTCCCGTGCATACCGCACGCCTCGCCGCTATTACTGTGTCGAGCCTCCGTTGTCCTGGTCGAGTCTCAAGGGTCGTGAACCCACACCACTCAACCTCCACTGCAGAGTACCATCGATCATCACCGACCGATGACGAGTCTCACGCTTTCATCAGACCACTGGGCTCCAGTCCGAACTACGTGTCACTCGCTTTTCCCGCTGAATAGGCTTCAAATCTCGGTGTCGTGCTTGTGTGATTGCTTGATCCTCGGTAGATCGACGGAGCGCCTCAGATTTATTCTAACAAGTGGTATCATGAGCTAGGTTGTTTGAAGCCACGGTGGAGTTGATGGTGTATGCACGCGGTGGCTGGCCCAGCGGGGCTAGCTGGTGGTGGATGCACGTGTTGTGCTTGTGGATCAGGCGCGGCTCCCAGGAGCGTACAGGCCATGCAACGATACTCGGCCGGGAGCTAGCACACAAAGAAGAATACAGAGATTTGTTTGTTGAAAAAAGAATTGCCAGGGCCACGTGTGTGTACAGGGGCAGTTTGATTGGACCGGATTTGGTTCTTGTTTCTGCTTCAAGGTGCACGGAGAAGCTGTAAAAACAAATAGAGACAAGGAAAATTGTGCAGGTTGCATGGAAGTTTTTTGGAGTCGATTTGTTGTGAAGGCTTGGAACACGTGGACAGGTTATGGAGGCGCGCGGACAAACGCGTCATGAGGATCATGTTTAACAGCGCGTCGAGTAATGCATGGTATGTGCTGGTTGACACGATGCAGGGTGAAACATGGTTGTAGTCGGATATGTTCGGTTGGGTCGGACTGGACTGTCTGGCGGATCGACGCAAGTCGGTTGGTACAGAAGATGGTGGTGGATCGGCGACGACGACATAGGAGCGTGATGCCGATGGTGACCGACTTCTGGGCGTGAAAACACATGGCGCAGGCCCCGAGGGCTTGTGTGGCTTCGACAAGACTATGACGCGGGCTTGATTCAAGACGGTGCACATGAGATCTTGAAGTCAATGAGGCGCAGGAGTGGCAAGTACAACCACCATGGAGTCATGTTGAAGGTGGAGCTGGAGTCTAGAGGACTTTACTCGGTGCTGATTGAGGGGCTACGGCGTAAGTCGACAGAGAGTTGAAGCCTATTCAGCGGGAAAAGCGAGTGACACGTAGTTCGGACTGGAGCCCAGTGGTCTGATGGAAGCGTGAGACTCGTCATCGATCGGTGATGATCGGTGGTACTCTGCAGTGGAGGTTGAGTGGTGTGGGTTCACGACCCTTGAGACTCGACCAGGACAGCGGAGGCTCGACGCAGTAATAGCGGCGAGGCGTGCGGTATGCACGGGACATGGAGACGGGCCAGGGCTCTGGTGGTCATACATGTTGTGAGACAACTGCGAATTTGACTCGGGATGACTACAAGCAATGGTGAAATTCCTTCAAGTTTCAGACAAGCAGTACAGAAAGAGCAGTGACGTTGAGTTCACGTAACTCTTATATATGGCGTTCAATATGTGAGTGGTTCATTTTTCACGCAGACAGTGATCGTTGTGTGATGTCGTTGAACGGATACTCTGGAAGTTGGAAGCACAAGGTAGAGTAATGAGGAACTTAATTTTGCTCGAGTTTTGACTGTGAAGAAGACGAGAAGGGACTACAGTTGCAGGTGGAGTCACATGGAGTCTGGGAGTAGCAGTGGGGCTCATGGCGTATCTCAAGTCCAATGTACATGGAGATTCGACGCACGGACGAATTCAAGGTGGTGGAGAATATTCGCCAAGGTGGAGTTTGTTAGAATTGTGTCGAATATTATTGTACAAGTTAGGTTACAGTTGGACTTAGAGTCGTACGGTGTGTAGACAGGATACGGAGTCGTGTCCAAGTAGGACACTTGTATCCTAGGCCTCTTATATATAGCGAGGGTAGACACACGATGTAACATATGCCAACATAATAGCACCGAAACGCAGGGGAAGCCGGCGGCATGTGCCGGTGTTCAGGGCGACCGGGTGCGGTATTGTAGCGGTGTCATGAGGAGGAGCGCCCATAGTCAGGCCCCGGGGATGTAGTCATATCGGTGAACCTCGTTAACAAATCTCGGTGTCGTGCTTGTGTGATTGCTTGATCCTCGGTAGATCGACGGAGCGCCTCGGATTTATTCTAACAAGATTGACACGGCATGCATTGCAGTGGGTACCAAATATGTAGCGATTTAAACTTTTTTTCTCCATCCACTCATAGACTAGTATCCACTCATCTTCTTCCTGGTCCTGGCAATAGTAGAGAAGCTCGGCAAGATTGACATGCGTGAGGGTCGACATCACTTCCACTTCCCTTAAGAAATCTTCCCTCCCTTTATCAGTAAGACGAGTGCGTTTCAGCCTCTTTACAGCAACATCAACGGCAAGGTCTGTACCATCGCGTAACTTCCCCTGGTGATTATACAGTACCATGTTACGATGTAGTTTCAGCATATACACGCAGTATACAATTAACTACTACTGCAGGATGCCATGGGAATGTCTGTAGTTAATCTGTGACAAATGTACTAGAATAGTTATTACCTTGTAGACGTTGCTAAATCCTCCTTTGCCAATGATGTTTCGGTCGGATAAACCTCCTGTAGCCTCTTTTATAGTAAGAAAGTGCACGCACAGACCTCATGGGCAAAGCAATATTTGGAGAACCATTATCAGGAGTGTTGGGTACTGGAAAATAATTAGGCTTGTCAGATCTTATCTCCCCTTCAGAATAGTAAAAGAAGGGAATACAAATGTGTTTATATAGACAGCGTTTACCTGGATTGTGAGATCGTCTCCAGATGAAAAAGAAGAAAGCAAGGAGAACCACGATGATGATCACGGATACAGATACACCGATTATAACAATCCGAGTAGGAAACTTGGACACAGATGGCTCACCTGGTATGTGTTATGAAAAGTCAACTTCGTAACCTTAAAATTTCCTTAAAATTGATTTTTCTTTTTGTATTTGCACAAAGGTGTCAATCTTTTCTTTTAGAAAGGCCTATAGGGACATTAACCCAACTGAACCTTTGCCATTAAGCCACAAACGCAGCAAAGAATTACAGCAAATCAAATTGGAAAGAAAGTAAGATGTTGCTTCTATCAAAATGATGAATTGATAAAGCACTTTTTTTTTACTATATCATCTCGTTTACGCTGTAAATCAAGTCAACTTCCAGGGCGGTGTTTCTGAGCTCGGCTCATATACACCCGCATGAACAGTAAGATCAAGAAAAATAGTAAATCTCAAAAAATTAGACGGCAAGCATGCTCGTTTCTTCAAAATCCATGTAAAATTTGTGAATAACAGTGTGGTGATCTCAGAAAACAAAATCCCACTATTTTCCTTTGTCAAGATCATCACACATGACTTTTTGTTGCGAATATTTGCATGCAACTAGAAGAACAAATATGTTCCTTGTCAAACATTTTCACGATTTTTTAATTGTTTACTATTTTCCTTGATTTAACTGTTAATGCGGGTGTATACGAGCTCGAGATCAGAATTGAATTCAGGTCAATTTCTTTCCAGACATGAAACTTGCATGGCAGAAATGAGTGGATGGATAGTCTGTACATACCAAATTCTGATTTCGACAACCTGAGGTAGAGATCCTGCTTGCTGTCAATGAGGCGAAGATCAACAATGGCATCCGCCCACATGACACAGCCACTGCGATTGCCGCCGCCTCTGGTATCAGCAGCAGCGTAGGCCAAGCATGAGCAGTTGGCATAGCACCTCGCTTCGCACTCCTCCAGCGTAGCGACATCAATATCCACGGTCGCATTCTGCGTGTCAGGAAGCTTCACTCCTGACACCACCTTGAAGCGGCCCGTCGTCTTCCCGCCACGACACTCCAGAACTGCGTCGCGCTGGCACCCGCCCGCATACTGCTTCATCTGCCACGCCGAAGTCGATACAGAGCTGAACCCCGGCAGGCAGCCGCAGAACCCGGACAATGCCGCCTCAGGGTTGCAGAGGCCAGACGCCCCGCACTTGCCATAGGCTTCGCAGGTGACGTCCCTTGCCCCCCTGCTGAAGAAGGAGATCCACGCCCCTGTGTCGGTGTTCCACACCAGCCGCTCCACCACGCCAGTGTGGTTCACAACGACGCGGGTCAGTGGTGCGCCGGGCACGGCGGTGTACCCATATGTTATCTCCGTCGACCTGCCCGTCAGGCCGGTCATGTGCAGCGGGTACATGTTCGTGTACGTCGATGCCTCCGGGACACCGTTGAAGTAGAGACCGTTCCATGGCCCCGTGCGGTACGTCTTGACGTTGCCACGCCACAGGACGAGCTCCGGTAACCCCTTAGTTTCCAGCGTACGGCGGTAGTCCCCCGGAGACGGGTCGTCCGCTGATCGCCATGACGTGAGCTGCCACTCGGTTTTGGTCCAGAAGTTCTTACCCAGCTTCATGCCGGGCAGCAAGGTGTCCGACGGGTGGTCGAACGACTGCCACAGGTAGGCGTCACTGCTGCCGTTCCGCACAACCAGGTTGCCGGAATCGAGAAGTTGAGCCGCGCTTCCGCTGGAGAAGTCTGAAGACCAGACCGTGCGGCGGGAGCCGTCAAGCAGGACGAGGGTGGCAGCGTCGTTGAACACCAACATGCCGGACGTGTCGCCGAGAGGGTCATCACGGTTGGCCACCCAGTAGACGGTGTCGTTGGACACCGAGAACCATATGCCGAGGTACCTCTTAGTGGACACCCCGGGAGAAAAGAACCCTAGGGTGAAGGAGCCGCCGGCCGAGACAAGCGTGTCGCCATTGGAGTCAGTGAGGTTCTGGCCTTTCTCGAGCTTGTCAGCAGCGGAGGTCTGGATGGAGAGGAGCAAGATGCATGCCAAGAAGAGGAGCAGAAGAAGCTGGCTGGTTGGTCTCATGATGGGTGTTCCCTTACACTGTTCATGCACACCAGAGAAATGTTGGTCCTGGACTGCACCTGTTTTGTAGCTTCAATGGGCAACACCATACCTTTTTTCCTTTCAAAAGCAGAAGACAAATTCTTGCAGTTCAACCTCTGGCTAACATGGCCGGTACTTGAATTAAATTTCAAAATATAAGCTCAAGCAAGTGGGTCATTAGAGTACTGGGTCAAAGTGGGGCGCATCGGATATGATTGGTACCAGCTTGCCACGATGCCAACTGCAAGCCGGCGACACCCTAATTGTCAACGCAATATTTTACAAAAATAAAACTTTTTGAACAAATATTATGGTAATTTCGCAAGCCAATCTAAGCATAAGCGCGATAAAGAATTTCTTCTTGCCCAATTATGCATGTGTTGTATACAGACAGCTGTTTTTCTTTTTTCCTTTTCTGAGAATCATATGTGCAACTGCTATGGATATGCAATTTTGCAAACCTTTGCTGGGACCGGGCTTACTTGTGTCCATGTCCCCGCTCTCAACAAGGAGAAAAACTAAAAAGAAAACAGAAAATCTTGTGGGTCGAAGTCTTTCCCCCCCTTATGCAGACGGCTAGGGTTTTCTCTCCGTGTCGTGAATGTGATTTCTTTCTCTGTTCGGCTGGTTCTGCTTTCTTTCTGTGTCTCTTTGTTCAAG